GTTTCTGCACTAGACAGAGTCCAGTCTCTTTCTCCCCCCTTTCTTTCTTTCTCTCTATCCCTCCATCTTTCTTTCTTTTGATATCTATCCCGCCAGTTTAATCGCCAACGCCATCTCTCCTACCAGGGACCCCCAATATTTGCAGGGGCTGGCCCCCGCAATTATTATAAACATCTTTATGCATACAAACTAGACAATCTAGAGGAAATGGATAAATTCTTGGAAACATACAACCCCCTAACCTTGAATCGGGAATAAACAGAAACACTGAACAGACCAAAGTTAAATCAGTAATTAAAAGTCTCCCAACAAAAAAAGAGTCCAGGACCTGAAGGACTCACAGCTGAATTCTATCAAACTTTCAAAGAACTGGTACCAATTTTACTGAAACTAGTCAAGATTGAACAGGAGGGAATTTTCCATACCTCATTCTATGAAGCCAGTATCACACTAATACCAAAGCCAGGAAAAGATACAACAACAACAATAAAAACCATAGACCAATATCCCTGATGATCATACATTCAAAATCTTCAAGAAAATGCTAGCAAACTGAATTCAACAGTACATTTTTAAAAATTCACCATGATCAACTTGGTTTTATCTCAGGGATATAAGGATGTTTCAACATACACAAGTCAATAAATGTGATCCACCACAAAAACATGATCTTTTCAAAAAGCATCTGATAAAATCCAGCATCTTTTCATGATAAAAGCTTTCAGCAAAATAGTCATAGAAGGAACATTCCTCAAAATAATAAGAGCCATATACAACAAACCCACAACCAATGTCATCCTGAACAGAGAAAAGTTGGACAAACTCCCCCTCAGAATTGGAAGAAGACAAGGATGTCCACTTTCTTTTTTATTATTATTGTAAAGATGTGGGGTACAATTCAGGGTTAGGTATACAAACATTGATCATGCAGATACCCTTGCTATGAGGTATCCCCCTCCCTCCCCTAGCAGTTTCCCTCAACTGCCAATCCTATCCCCCCTCCTCTGACAGTTTCCCACTACTGCCAATCCCTTTCTTATAGTATTAGAATTGTTCAAGGTCCGTTTACGAGTGAGAACATATGGTACTCTGTTCTTTGTTTCTGTGATAGAGCACTGAGTATGATCAACTCTAAATCCGTCCAAGTTGCTGCACAGTTCATGTTTGTCCTTCTTTATGGCTGCATAATATTCCATTGTGTGTATGGACCACATTTTTTTATCCAGTCCAGCTTCAATGGTCACCATGGTTGGTTCCATGTTCTTGCTATTGTGAATAGGGTTGCAACAAACATACCTGCAACAAACATGCAGGTATCCTTTTTTGTAAAATGATTTGCATTAGGATGCTCACTTTCACCACTCCTCTTCAACATAGTACTGGAAGTTCTTGCCAGAGCAATCAGGCAAGACAAAGAAATAAAGATATCCAAATTGGAAAAGAAAAAATCAAACTATCTCTGTATGCTGACAATATGATCTTATTCCTAGAGAATCTTAAACAATCCTCCAAAAGACTCCTGGACTTGATAAATGGATTTGGTAAAGTCTCAGGATACAAAAAACAACACACACAAATCAGTAGCACTGCTATACACCAATAGCGACCAAGTTGAGAATCAAATCAAGAACTCAATTCCATTTACAATAGCTGCCAAAAAGCTAAAATACCTAGAGATATACTTAACCAAGAAGGTGAAAGATCTCTACAAGGGAAACTACAAAACACTGATGAAAGAAATTGCAGAAGCTAGGCACAGTGGCTCATACCTATAATCCTGGTACTTTGGGAGGTGGAGGCAAGAGGATTGCCTGAGCCCAGGGGTCTGAGACCAGCCTGGGCAACTTGGCAACACCTCATCTCTACAATAAATAAAAAAAATTAGCTGGGTGTAGTGGTGTACGCCTATAATCCCAGTTACTCGGAAGGCTGAGATGGAAGAATCACCTAAGCCCAGTAGGTCGAGGCTGTGGTGGCCATGAGCATACCACTGCACTTCAGTTTGGTCAACAGAGTGCGACCCCCAACTCAAAAAAAAAAAGAAAGAAATTGTAGAGGTCACAAACAAGTAGGAAAAAATCCCATGCTCATGAACTGGAAGAATCAACACTGTTAATATGACCATTTTACCCTAAGTGATCTACAGGTTCGAAAAAGAGCCAGAATAGCCAAAGCAAGTCCAATTTTAAAAAGAACAAAGCTGGAGGTATCACATTACCTGATTTCAAATTATATGACAAGAAACTGCTAGCAAATTGAATTCAAAGGTGTGGAATCAACCCAATGCCCATCAACTGATCAGTGGATAATCAAACTGTGGCTGTGTATACACACATACATACACACACACACACCATGGAATAATATTCAGCCATGAAAAGGAAATGGCAGAAACTTAGATGGAATTGGAGACCATCATCCTAAGTGATGTAATATGGGAATGGAAAACTAAACATCATATGTTCTCACTTATAAGTGAGGACTAGACTAAGAAACTGCAAAAGCATATAGAATGGCATAATAGGCACTGAAGACTCGGAAGGGGGAGGGTGGGAGGGGCAGTAGGGTTCAAAAAATTACTTATTGGGCACAATGTGCACTGGTGGGGGTGATGGGTACACCTAAAGCCCAGACTTCTTCACTACTATACAATGCATCCGTGTAACCAAAAATCATCTGTACTCCCCTAAAGCCATTGAAACAAAAATTTTATAAATAAAATAAATAATAAATTTAAAAATGAAAAAAAGAAAAAGATGCACTGCTAAGCCAAATTCTCATGATCTGAGACCTAAATCAGCTGCAGCTTTATTCACAACCCAAACACCTATACTGGAGTCACTGCTCACAGGGCTGGTTCCAAAATCTACTTAAACTCCATGCAAGCATGATAGATTAAAAGACTGGTAGAAAGAACAATGAGTAATAGTTTAGAAGAATATGAAATAGTTAATCACTAACTATTACAGTTTGACCTATATTTCTTAAATGACCAAACCATCAATTACCCTATTATTGTTCCTTTGAATTCTATTTACTACATTCATTATCTAAAAATATATCGCCTCAAAAATAATAATTTCCTTGGGGAAAAGGAGTCTTTTGTTGTTGTTTTGTTTTCTTGTTGGGACAGGGCCAAAAAAAGACTGTAGTTTTTAACCCAAGAGGGTCAGTTAAAGAATACAAAAGTACATAAACCAGGAACAGGTAAAGTCCCTAAAGGTGGATGCATGGTCTTCCAGGACCTCACCTCAGTGTGTGTGTGTGTGTGTGTGTGTGTGTGTGTGTGTGTGTGTGTGTGTGTGTGTTAGACGATAAATGGCTGTGTGGGGAAAGCAACATGAGTCAGCAACATAATTGCTAAAGAAAAATCAGTATTATTTGTCTCTATTGGAAAAGCAAAGGCCATTTAATACCATGGTAAGTTGGAACAATAAGTTTACTTAGAAGGACTGAGAACTTATGACACTTTTAAGAAAATTATCTAACAATCTCATAATTTTACTCAAGCAGGGAGGGTCCATCATACACATATACATATACAAAAAAACCCATGCAGTTATATCAGAGACCTATGGAGGTATCCATCCTGTCTTGATAAACAAGCCTCCAAAGTAAACTAAGGGCCATAAAAAGTGGCAAACTGTTATATCATATACATTCTGCAGAAAAAGAAATTTTAAAAACCAAAATTCTTCAAATGCACATCTGTCAATCCTCCTGAAATGACTTTTCTTTATATATTTTTCCTGTGAGTAGAAATCTGTTGAGGAAAGTACCATGAAGGCTATAATTCAAAGAAAGAGTAGCAGAGAAGCCCAGAGAGATGTTAGAGGAAGCCCTGGAGAGGCAGACTCCACTGGCTCACAGGAGAGAAGAAGGGTCATCAATAACATGCACCATAGGCATGAGAGCTCTGTGTGAGAGAATCAATCATCACACACAGTCACAAGAGAGCAAATCAGTGTCCCTGTACCCTGCCTTTGACTTCTATCATCTTGCAACAGTTTCAACTAGGGTCAGAGGACTCTAATAGGAATCTGCAGATAAACCTCCATTTATTAAACATTTCCAGATTTTTTCCAGAAAGAGAACAGCAGGTATCTAAGTTGTCATCATAGCAATGATGGTGATGATGATGAGAGTGGTGATGATAACAATAACCATAATGACTCCCATTTATTGACCCATAGCTAAGGATCACTGAGCACTTGGCTAAGCCCTTTCATCCATGGCCCAACATGGGGGAACCATCCATGTTTCTTTTGAGGGTCATCTAAATCAGTTCTCATTTGGTCCAATAGCTAAATGCCCTAAAGGAGCTCTGAATGTAATTTGGGGCCCTCATATAAAGCTCTCAAACCTCTTCTCAAAACTCTTGTAGTTCATTATAATTTGTTAATGCCCAGCTAATAAAAATATAACCTAAATTGTTTGTTTACTAGGGAGTTAAATCTTGGTTAAAGTAAATAACTTTGCTAACGTTTTCTGGCTTAGTTTGGCTATACTTAAATTTCACCTGTAGAAGGTAGAGACTATGTTACTTACTTCATCAAATCTAGTTTTAGGGGGGGAAAGAAAAAATAATAATTATACATATATTTGGTATCTAGATTTAAAAGACCAAGCCTCAGCTGGGCACAGTGGTTCACGCCTGTAATCCCAGCACTTTGGGAGGCAGAGGTGAGAGGATTGCCTGAGTCCAGGGGTTACAGACCAGCCTGGGCAACTTGGCGAGACCTCGTCTCTACAATAAATAAAAAAATTAGTCAGATGTGGTAGCGCATGCCCAGCTACCTGGAAGGCTGAGGCGGAAGGATTGGGTGACAGAGTGAGACTACAACTCAAAAAAAAAAGAAAAAAAAGACTGAGCCTCAAAATAATTATCATGTATAAAGAGAAAATGTTATAAGTTCATTTTCCAGAGTTTTTAAAGAGCATATGCAAATGGATTTAATGCTATACACTTTCTTATTTATTAACATATGAAGATCTTTTACCTCCATCCAATTCAAGTCACGGGGTTGTTGGTTTGTCGGCAGTGACTCAGAATAAGAATCAAATAATGCACACTCCCGCTTGGGCTTAGGAAAAGCTAAAAAGAAACAAAAAGAATACGTAAGAATGTTTACTATATACATGGTTGTGTTTTCCATCAGTTTTTCAGTGCTTGTAAAATATAAACAAAATCAGCAAGCTCCTATGAAGCACTTGTGGCACCAATCATGTTGAGGTGGTATTTTAAGTTCTTCACATATGCAATTCAGTTCTTCTATCAACCCCATTTTACATGTGATGAAGCAGAGAAACAGGGAAGTTAAGCAACTTACTCAAGGTCATATAGCTGGTAAATGAAAGAGCAAGGACTTGAACTCTCAGCAGTCTGGCTGAAGGGTCCGTGCTCTTAGCACTTCATGTTATAGCATAGTAGTCATTTTCCACATTAACCATTACTATCACAGTAAGTTTTAACTATACCATTAGTGCAATTTTTAAAGGTAGTGACTATGGTGGCAATATGAATTCTGTAATCATTAACTAAGAAAATATGTCACTTTAGCTATTGTTGAAAATAGGCAAGAAAGAACTTATAATAATGTATAATCAAATATAACTTCATGAAATACTTATCTCTTTGGTTAGCAGGAATGACAAAAATAAGAGCATAAATTCTTGCTGATTTACAACAAAGAAATAAGAATCACATTATGAGTTTCTTCCAACATACAACAGTGACAAGCTGTTCTCTGGGTAGATGAGTGAATTAGCATGAGGAAAAATCATGCTGCTTGGTAAGCTAATTACTTAACACCCAGGCTATGTCTTAGAAGCAGATTCTGCTTCATCACTTTGTCACAAAGTAATTAGGAAAGAAATATCTCAACAGCTAGAAAATTTGTCAATATTCCCAAGAGGAAGAGCAGATTAGGGAAGATAATAAACAGAAGCTAGACAAGCTATTAGGACATAAAATTCTAATGCAATGTCTAAAAAAATATTTTAAATTAAATGTGAAAAGTGGATTGGCACTGTTTTTCATCCTTCCCCCATCTTTCTACCCTCACCAGGAATTAAAATGCCAACATCCTTCTGCAGTAAAGTACTGGCCTGGGTATCAACTACCGTGTGGATTTCAGTGCAAGCACCTTAATTCGTTTACTTGCTTACTCTGGTCTGAATTTTTCCTATGTCAAATAAAGGAAACCGTGGACCCTGGTGATTTTTCTGACCATACTTGGTGGTTTGTTTCCTTGGCAAAAACTCAGCACGATACCCTTCAAAGCACCATTCCTTAATCTAGCCCCAAGGACAGTTTTCCAATATAAGATTTCTTTCTGGCCTACCAGTCAGTGTTCTGACTAAAATTAGATGACTGATGCCTTATCACAAGGGGGTCCTGCCATGGAGAAAGCTAACACTTTCTAAAACTGCAAATATCACCAATTAACTGCTAAATCTCTCTCCAATGTGTCCATATCTCTCCATCTGCTCTATTCCCCCCCCAATGCGAGCCTCTCGCTGCCCCTAACTGGACTACTACCATAACACTTCCAGTTTCCACCCTCCCCCCCTTAAAACCTGTTCTCTAGAAAGCAATCAGCACGATCATTTCACACAGCAAATCTGATGGTGCCACTTCTCTGCTTCAAATAGCTCAACATTGTTGCCCATAATTTGTTCCCATCTTCCTCTTCAGCCTCTTCCTGGCCCCTCTATCCCTGGCTCTGTGTACTCCAGCTACTGTGGCCTGAAATTTCCATTCCTCCATGCTCCAAGCCCACTCTCAGTGCCTCTCCAACATGCCTGCTGGTCCCTCTTCCCAGGACCCCCGCTGTCCCTTTCTTCATCTGCAAAGCCCTTAGCATATCATTCATATTAGCTCATCTTCACATCACAGCTCACATTTAATGAAACCTTCCTTAAGGTCATGCACCCTTTTGCTGCACCTGCACTTCTCCTTCACAGCACTTATCACTGGCTCTAATAACATGTGTATGAGTTTACTTAACATTGATCTTCTAACTCCCTGCAAGTTCCATGGGGGTAGGAACTCTGTTTTATACAGAATTCTGACCACAGAGAGTAATAAGGTACCTCTCACATAGTAAGTACTCGACAAATACTTTTTAACAAATGATACGGCAAAAATTTCTACCAGAACCCACCCAGTCACCTAGACATGAAACTATCATAAGGCTCATGGGTAAGCCACCAAATAATCTAAATTAGCATTCCAACTTTGTCCTTTAATTTGTACTGTTAGGGGCAAGGGACTGTTTCTGTAATTACAAGTAAAATGGCATCAGACACAATTCCCATTTCATTATGTTATTGAAAACAAGCTTGCAGAGTTTATCAGCCAAGTTTATACTCGTTACTAATCTTATCGAAAATAGATTAGATTTTTTAAAAGACTGAATATAGATCAATCAGAAAAATGCTGAAACAAGATAAGAGCTAAGCTTTTTAAAAAAAAAAAAAAAGGCTAACTGGGATGCCATAAAAATGAACAGGGCTACTCATATTTTGCACAGTCTAAAAGCAAAGACAGACCAGGCGTGGTGGCTCACATCTGTAATCCCACCACTTTGAGATGCTGAGACAAGAAGATTGCTTGAGCCCAGGGGTTTGAGACCAGCCTAGGCAACACAGCAAAATCTCATTGCTACCAAAAAATAAAAATAAAAAAATAAGCCAGGCGTAGTGGCACAGGTGCCTATAGTCCCAGATACTAGGGAGGCTGAGGAGGGTGGATCCCTTCAGCCCAGAAGTTCAAAGCTGCAGTGAGCCATGATTGTGCCACTGCACTCCAGTCTGGGCAACCGAGTGATAACATGACTCACCCAAACATTCATCAATCAATAAATCACTCAATGCACAGAGAAGACCTAGATAGTTCCAGCCATTTTCTTGAGCTTCATACAAAGATAAACATGGGTGATAAAGCATTTAAAAACTAACTGCTAAACCCTCATGGTTTGTCTAAAATATACTGTCACTGAGTTTGATGGGGTTTTATGAAGTCTCTCATGTTTTCTGTTAGAACTATATAAATATTATTCAAGATTAATCCCTGGAAATGATGTGCAATTTTTGTTGAACTAAAGTGTATGTGATACATTCTTCAGTTGTTTCTATATAAATGCATGCTGACCATCTCCTTAAAGGCTAAGAAGAAACAAGGGGTGCCATTCCCAGTGAAGGGAGATGCCTCTTGACTGGCACTTTTTTTCATAGGCCCCTCTCTACTGAACAGGCAAGTCAAAGGAATCATTTGCAACAGCAAAGGAATCAAGAGATTACTTCTTTCCTGTTAGTGGGCTTTTAGCTCAGGGTTTTCTGATTTCTAAAAATTATATCAGTGACTTTTGAAACAGTCCATGAAATACTTGGATACCTGCAAAGTGACTTCCCAAACAAGGAATCATGCCATAGGTTCTATGGCCAAATGGCATCAGAACAATAAAGCAGCATTAATCAAGAACTTAAAACAGAAAATTAAGCATGGGCACGGGAGGTGAGGTTATCCAGGACTCTTCCCAGGGCTCAAAAGAAGACACAGTGAGGGCATTAAATATAACTAAATAACCCTAGAACAGAACTTGGCCCTCTGGCCAGGAGTTAATTCCCTTTAGAGAGAGACAAAAATCTCATGTCGCCCTGCCCTCAAGAGAAGAGGTTCCTCTATGACACTGCACTGCTTTGGCAATGAGAGCCAATGCAGGAATCAAATAGCCCCTGGAATGTCCGTGCTTTTGTGCCTCAATCCAGGAGAAGGAAACAGAAAGGGGGAGGGAGAGCGAGATAGAAATGGATACCGACCTACCAAAAACGAAAGAGATTTCAATTGGGATACTCACTGACCAAAGATGAAAGAGAGTCTATCATACTCAATGATCTATCACAGAAACAAAGAACTAAGTACCACATGTGCTCACTCATAAGCGGACCCTGAACATTTACCATAACACAATAAGAAAGGGTGGCAGTAGCAGGACACTGCCAGGGGAGGGAGGGGGGCCACATAGCATCAATAAGGGTACCTGATCTCAAACCAGGTGAAGTGGGGACCAAAGGGAGGCCCAAATTTTACCTGTACCACGACCACTTGTATACTTAATTCTAAATTGTATCCCACATCTTTAAAATAAAATTTAAAAAATTTTTTTAAAAGAGTCTTCAACCAGAACCACCCAAGTCACTCTCAAATTTCTGACCATATAATGTTGTGTGAGAAAGTAAATTTTTACTGTTATATTAAGCTCCTAAGTTTTAGGGTGATTTTTGTAAAGTAATAGATATCTAATACAGATTTGACCTTGCTTTTCTTTTTTTTTTCTTGAGTTGGCATCTCATTCAGTTGCCCAGGCTGGAGTGCAGTGGCATACTCATAGCCACTCCAGCATGGACCTGCTGGGCTCCAGCGATCCTTCCACCTCAGCCTTCCAAGTAGCCAGAACTACAGGTGTGCACTACCATGCCTGGCTAATTTTTGATTTATTGTAGAGACGAGGTCTCCCCAAGTTGCCCGGGCTGGTCTCAAACCCGCAGGCTCAGACAATCCACTCACCTCGGCCTCCCAAAGTGCTGGGATTACAGGCTGAGCCACAGAGCCCTGCCTAACCTTGCTTTTCATAACAATATCTATATTATATCTTAATTATCTAGCCACAGTCAATCCTGGTTCAGATGAGAAGGACCATTCAACTGACTGTAGCCCAAGTTGGCAATCCACAGATTATAAGCTAAATAAATGGCTGTTATGAAAAAATAAAAAAGAGAGTTCAATTGTAAGCTAATTTCTGGGGACCCATGAAGGTCTTCCCCAACCTCCAAGGAAGGGCAGCAGGCTAGAATGACTGCCTGCTGTAGGCAGAAAGTCGTTATTAGCAAAATCTAAGCCCAGAAATTGGTAGGTTTTGCTTTCTTAACTCTCTTCTTCATATGTTTTAAGGGGGCATTTGAAGAAGATCCTAGAATGCGTTGCTCTTCTCACAACATGCTTACCTGTCACTTAGCACCAGTCACAAACTTGGTTTCTTCCCTTTGGTTGAGGTACCTCCCTCACTACCTAATGCAGAAAACAACAGACTTTTTATTGAAGAGAGTCAGAGACCCCAACACTGACTCAGATGAGATATTTGCCACTTTGAATCTGGTGTCATCACAAGGAAGGTATGAGAAAAGAAAATCTAAGGCCTTTTCCAAACCTAATCACAAAATTTATACTCCATCAGTGAGTAATCACCATTTCTTTAGACATTGCTTGCTCTTGCCAATTATCATCCATGACTAAGCTCTCATTTCTTTACAAGCCCTTTCCTATAAAGTAAGAAAGGTTGCTGAAAGCACCAGCTATTTCTGGATCCTTTCAAAGAACATCATACTTCTCTGAATAATGGAAATCAGGCCAGTGCCCACTGCCTTTGAAAAGGCCAAGAGACATTATTAACTCTTCCAATCTTTCAAAGGAATTAATATAAATGTTATACTCACCATGATTCTTTCTAAAGGGTTCAAAATAGCAGCTTGAGAGTTACTGTTTTATTGAGGAGAAAGACAAATAGAGATCTATTCCAACTTTCTGATGTGCTAGAATGTTCTATATCTTTATCTGATTGTAATTCCATGGGTGTATACATATATAAAAATTCATCGAGTGTACACTTAAGGTCACAGCACTTCGCACATTTCACTGCATGTAATTTTTTAAAGCTTTTTAATTAGGGATAAAAGTTCTATTCCATTCCATCACCTACGGCCACTTGGAGATACTAGGGTGTGCCTAAAGATACCAAGTCAGCACTTGTCACTACAAGATCTTCCCCTTCATTTTATATCAGCTGGGAGGTTCAGCACTCGCCTATTCTTCAACGATCACGAAAGAGTGTCTTTGATTCAAATCCTTCCAAAGGGTACCAGAATGAGAAAAACATATAATTCACATTCACCCAGATCAACCATATTACTCATATTTTGAGATGTGAAAGTCTAATATCCTTTTTTAAAAATAACTATAGAGAGATACCAAGGACCCCCCCCCCCAAAGTGTCTGGATACCATTTTAAGAAACAAAAGTTTCTTATAAAGCCTGGAGGGAAAGTATCTAAGGTTTCAGATTTATGATGAGGCCTTACCTGCTTGCAGGTACTCTGGCTGCAGAGTTGGAGGCAAGCTCTCAGGCAGTGGGTAGCCATTCTTCCGGGCCACAATGAGATGGAATGCAGCACAAAACTCAGACAGGGTCAGGGCTCCATCGCAGTCAACATCACTAAGCTCCCTAAACATACCAAATGCCATGAGTACCTATCATGGGGCTTAGGGGAAAAGTTACTCAGCCCAAACATGCAAACACAACTTCCATACTCTCCGGTGATGGCACTGCAGGATCTCCAAATCCTCCTGGCTAGGTTCATTTGAAATCTCAGAAGAAAAATGTTGATTGATAGCACTGGCATCAGAAACTTTTTTCTTTTTTTTTTTGAGAAAGAGTCTCACTCTATCGCCCAGGCTGGAGTACAGTGGCACACGCACATTCACCCCAGTGTCAACCCACTGGGCTCAGGAGATCCTTCCACCTCAGCCTTAACATTTTATAAATAAAAATTTAAATACTTCAGATTCCCTGTTTAGTCTGTTTTACAATGCTGAGGACATGGGACAAGAAACTATGGCACAAAAAGACAAACGATGCCCAGACTTCCCCAGTTAGTTGACAGTCATTCAGTAAATGCAGGCTGCATGATGCAAAGAGCCTGGATCTAGTGGTCAAAACAAGCAGAGGAAGAGTGGTCAGGAATTTTATAATTGTCCCAGTCATTATACAGTTTACTCGGAGCACAGAAACAGTTTACTCAGTTTTCAGTTTTAAGGGAAAACCTTGAACTTTTCAGGTCATATAAATTTTTGCATCACACTGGTCTTTGCTTGAGAATTCCCTCCTGGAAAAATACAAGTAAGCTCAATAAATATTGATTGCATTCTGTTTTAGGATAAAACTAACAACTAGAGAAGACTGGAACCAGATAAGACAAAAAAGATGAAAGGGAAAGTCTTGAAAAGGCTTCTCTTCACTTCAGTCATTATTTCCCACTAAAAGGCACAGACATTTACTCAGCACAAAAGAAACTGGTTTGCCAAAGTAACTAAGACCCTATGTGCTCAACCATCTCTTAGATGTACAGAGACAAGTATACTTGTATTATGACAAGTAGAGGTAAGACTTATACAAAATTATTTTAGAAACATGTTACCATTTGGAAGAAAAAATATCTCTAAGGTAAGCTCCATAACTTCCTTTAGACCATTTTCATTTTCCTCCTTTTCCCCCTTCTCCCCTCCCTCCCTGGCCCTCTCCTACTCCCTTCCCTCTCCCTTTCTCCTCCCTTTCTATCCTCCTCCTCCTCCCTCCCCATTCCCTTCCTCTAATTTCAAGTATACCAGTCCTGAAATAGCTGTTCCCAGGGTGAAGAGTCAGGGAGCTGCTGGATGGAGAGAATACCATCTAACTTTCATTGATGTGTCTCGACATAAAGATAGGAAGCCTCGTGCCGACAATACAAAGACTGGGAATTCTGCCAACACAGATTGTATTCTTTTCAAAATAATAATTTCTTTTTCCTAACTTTAGAATCTAATATAAGGCTTGTTGTAAATATATATATATATATATATGTATGTATGTATGTATGCGCCAGAGTATATTGTTGAAGAACCTAAACCCAGCTCAAAATCCCAGATACACTGGCATGCACAAGTGTCAGTGGAATAGTTTTTCAATAAGATGCAAAACACATGACAAACAATTTTAAATCCTATCATATTTTTGTAAATTCTCATGCAAAACGCTTATATAAATATTTCGATGTTTTTAATGATATATTTATAGCAGTGTGATCTCCTGCCCGTTGTTGGGGAAGAACGATCCCACACACAGCCAGGAGTTCACAGCAACACCAAGCATCTTCATAAATGCATATAGAGCCATCTGGACCAGCTCAGCACAGCCTTTCTAGAGCCAGAGCTGTGGCAAGGTGCAGTGGATGCTGCAGCTGCAAGTCTGAACTAGGGCCCAGTTGATAAACACCAGCCAAATTTATGAAACTCAGAGGCTACTAGAATAGTCAAATTTAATGTAATTCCAAAATATTCCTGGACCTTATAAACTATTATAAAGAATTGCTTTTCAAGGTCCTCTAGTTACCTGCATCACACCAAACAGAAAATCTGAAAATAAAATCTACAATGTGGCAAGTTTCATATGCCCACAACTGCCTAGACTGAAAAGGGATCTGAAATGGGGATAATAATTAGGAAGTTACTTCTAATATCACAGTTAATACTTATAGTGCTTAGTATATGCCAGGCACTGTTCATTGTGCTTTTCATATGATAACTTATTTAATCTTCAAAACAACAAAAACTTGAATTCCATTCACTCTCTTAGTCTGTTAAAAAATCATTCAAAGATAAGACTTTTAAAAATGCAAAGGTATGAGCTAAAAGATGGGTATGTGTGATGGTATGGTATCATGCGGTATTAATTGCACTTACCATATATAGGAGAGTTCTGGAATGGAAAGCTTTGATTTGGTGAAGAAATTCTTGGCCACCGAACCTGTTAAGAGCCATTATTTAAATAAATTATTAATAACCTATCTAGAATAGCTTTCACATTTATATACAAGTGAATCATCATTTTTCTTTTTCATTCAGCAAGTTCTTCTGTATAACCATAATCACATTTATTGCTCAAAGCAACTATAAATCATGGGACTAAAAGCAACATATGAACAGCTTTTCTTTTTTCTTTTTTTTTTTTGAGTTGGAGTCTCACTCTGTCGCCCAGACTGGAGTGCAGTGGCCGCTTCCGGCCACCACAGCCTCGACCTGCTGGGCTCCGGTGATCCTTCCGCCTCAGCCTTCCGAGTAGCTGGAATTACAGGCACACACTACCACGCCCGGCTGATTTTTTAATTTTTATTGTAGAGATGAGGTCTTGCCAAGTTGCCCAGGCAGGTCTCGAACCCGTGGGCTCAGGCAATCCACTCACCTCAGCCTCCCAAAGGCGCGGGATTATAGGCTGAGCCACCGAGCCCAGCTGAACAGCTTTTTTTAAAATATATAAATTAGAATAGGGCAAAAGAAGCAATGACATAATACTCACGACAGATGTAAGTCACATAAATTAATTTGTTTTGTTTTTACCAAAAATCTGAGAAATTTTACTAAAAATGTAAACAACAAATTTCAAACAAAGAAAAGTCAAATCAAACCCACAAGCTCTGTTCTAAATAAATAAAGTCAAAAGTCTTTCTATGGCAATCACAAGTTTTCTAGCTGACCTTAAAACAATGGATTATAATGGGACCTAAAGCAGACTTATTTTCCTTTCAGAGGTTATTAAGGATCAAAAGCAAAATTCCCTATAAACTAATGAGACTTCTCCCCCAAGGCATCTTGGAAATAGTGTTGACATATGACTCTTGGTCATCAACACAGCCACCTCGTCAAACATTTGTCAGAAATGTCTTGCAAGTCTATTTACCAGCTATTTTATAACTTGTTTTCCCACTTGATCTCCTTTCTTCAAAGCACATTAGGCTCAAACCCACAGCTAGTTATCTGACCTGGCCTTCAGACAGTACAGAGAGACTGTTGTAACATAGTATACCAGAGAGGTTAGGTGGAGCCCTTAGGGAAGCTGGTAACTCACAAATTCAAATGTGCTGTAGTGCTGCCTGCAAGGAGGGAGCTGAGGAGACAGTTTATCCTTGGTGCTGATGGGAAGTTCAAACCTTGTGCTGAAACCCCTCGCTCTAGCCCCACCCCCAAATCACCATAAAAACCCCAAGCCAGTCTCCTTTCCTTGTTTTCTCAAGCCATCTTCAGATCTGCTTAAGAGCTACATGTAGTACAAAGAGGAAGAAGGAAGGGTGAGGCTTCAAAATGGTCACAGTGAAGTATCAAAAATGAACTCAGGGCCAGGCTCAGTGGCTCATGCCTGTAATACCAGCACTTTGGGAGGCCAAGGCGGGAGGATCGCTTGAGCCCAGGAGTTCGATACCAGCCTGGGCAACATAGCAAGACCTCATCTCTATTTAAAAAAATCAAAAAATTAGTCAGGCGTAATGGCACATGTCTGTTAGTCCCTGTTACACAAGAGACTGAGGTGGGAGGATTGCCTGAGCCCAGGAGTTTAAGGGTGCAAGTAAGCCTTAATCATGCCACTGCACTCCAGCCTTTGGATAACACTCTGACTGCTCCTAACCCTGCAGAACAGAATAAGACTCTGATTCAAAAAAGAAATGGATTCAGACTTTTTATTATAAGGAGTCTCTCAGACCAGTAAGCTATAGTTATGCAAAACACCGACAGTTCAGTGATTAAATGTTAATATACTGATACACATATTTAAAAAAAAATAAAGTCCAATTACCCTATGTAAAAATGAGCAGAGCTATGAGAGATTACAGAAAGAGATACAAATGACTCTTAACCACCACATGAAAAAAAATGTCCAGTCTTGTTCATAAGTCATCTGTAAATCAAAAAACCACACAAAGATATGATTTCTTGCCTATCAGATGGGAAAAAATACAAAAGTTAGATAACACACTCTAATAATGACACTGTGGGGAAATAGGCATACTTCAACAATGCTGGTGGGATTTACAAAATGGCACTACCCTAATGGAGGGGTGTTTTGCAATATCTGGCAACATCACATGTGCATTTAACCTCTGACCTAGTAATCTCACTTCTAATTTATCTAACTATACACTGAAAAAAAATATAAAGACATGAAGAAGGCTATTCACAGCAAAAATATTTGTAATAGCAAAATACTAGAAATAATCCCAACAGGGGACTAGTTGAATAAATAATTATGCATTCATGCAATCTAGTAGTATACAGTTACAAAAGGGAACAGGGAGTATCTCTGCATACTACTATGGAATCATCAGCAGGATATAGTGTTAAGTGAAAAAGGCAAAATGGAGAAAATCTAAATCGTATGTTCCATTAAAATAAAAGCAAATGCATATATATGTCTATCATGTATGTGTGTGTATCCTCACATATATGATAGATATGTATATGCATTTGCTTTTATTTTAAAAACAGACTGGTAAACCATTAATAAAAAGATGGCTACTTATAGGGACAAGGAAGGAATAGGGAAAAAGGGTTAGGAACAGATGCCAGACTTCTTTGGGCATAGCTTGTTTTATAGACTCAATTTTAAAACCATGTTAATATTTTATGTAAGTACAAAGTTATATTAATTTAGAGTCTATCATACTCAGTGATCTATCACAGAAACAAAGAACAGAGTACCACATGTTCTCACTCATAAGTGGACCCTGAACATTTACTATAATACTATAAGAAAGGGACTGGCAGTAGCAGGATACTGCTGGGGTGGGACTGGGTACAACATCAATAGGGTACCTGATCTCAAACCAGGCAAAGTGGGGACCAAAGGGAGGCCCAAGCTTTACCTGTATGATGACCACTTGCATACCTAATCCTGAATTGTATTCCACATCTTTAAAATAAAATAAAGTTAAATTAATCTTTTAAAACACAACCCTTAAAAACTAAAATCAAAACTAATAAAACTGAAAAGAACATTTTCAAAATTTACTACAATAATCAAGACAGCACAGTATTGACATTAGAATATGTAGATCAGTGGAGCAGAACAGAGAGTCCAGGAATAAACCCTTAAATTCACAGGCAACTGAATTTTGACAAGAATGTCAAATGATTAATTGGGAGAATGAGTCTTTTTTTTCTTTTTTTTCTAATACATATTTTTTATGTTAATATTGTGGGGTACAGTTAAGGGTTAGGTATACAAATATGCATTGTGCAGATACCCTTGTTGATGAGGTGTGCCCCCCTTTCCCCAGACAGATATTGACTACCATTAATTCCACCTCCCTTCCCCTCCCCGCCCCACCCCATAGTTTCCCACCACTGTCAATCCTTTTCTTATAGTATTAAGATAGTTGTTCAAGGTCCACTTATCAGTAAGTGAGAACATGTGATACTCAGATCTTTGTTTCTGTGAGACAGCACTCAGTATTATAAACTCTTTTTTTCAACAAATAATGCCAAGACAACTGGACATTCACATTCAATACAATATATTTGAACTCCTATCTCACACCATACACAAAAACTAACTCAAGATGTGTGAAATACCTAAATATAATATATAAAACTATAAATTCTTAGAGAAAAATACAGATGTAAACTTCCATCCTTTGGATTAAGCAATGGTTTCTTAGATATGACACCAAAAGTACAAGCAGCAGCAAAAAAAAAAATGTAGATGCACTGAACATTATGAAAATTAAAAACTCTGTGCTTCAAAGGACACCATCAGGAAAATAAAAAGACAAGCCACAGACTAGAAAAAAATTTGCAAATCGTGTATCTGATAAGAAACTTGTATATAAAATAAATAAAGAACTCTTAAAAATCAATATTTTTTTAATGACAAAGGGTTTGAATAGACATTTCTCCAACGAAGTTATACAAGTGACCAATAGGCACATGAAAAGATGCTCAACATCATTATTCATCATAGAAATGCAAATCGTTGCCACAAACAGATACCACTTCTCACTCATCAGGATGACTATAATCAAAAGACAAATAATAAGTGTTGGTGAGGATACGAAGTAACTGAAACCCTCACACACTGCTGGTGGGAACATAAAAAGGGACACTTTGGAAAACACTTTGTCCCTGAAACAGTTAAACATAGAGTTACCGTATGATCCAGCAATTCCACTCCTAAGTATACTCAAGAGAAATGAAAACATATGTTCACATAAAAACTTGTACACAAATGTTTATAGCAACATTATTCTTTTTTTTTTTTTTTTTTGAGTTGGAGTCTCACCCTGTCGCCCAGAATAGAGTGCAGTGGCCGCTCCCGGCCACCGCAGCCTCGACCTGCTGGGCTCCGGCGATCCTTCCGCCTCAGCCTTCCAAGTAGCCAGAACTACAGGCGTGCGCTACCACACCCGGCTAATTTTTTTTGATTTATTGTAGAGATGAGGTCTTGCCAAGTTGCCCAGGCAGGTCTCGAACCCGCTGGCTCAGGGAATTCACTCACCTCGGCCTCCCAAAGTATGGGATTACAGGCTGAGCCACCAAGCCCGGCCAGCATTAATTCTTAATACCCCCAAAGTGGAAACAACCCATACGCTTATCAACAAATAAATAAATAAAATGAGGTATATCCATACAATCATTCAGTCATAAAAAGGAATGAAGTTCTGGTACATACTAGAACATGAATGAGTGTTTTAAAACATTATGTTAAGTGAAAGAGACCAGACACCAAAGACTATATATTATGAGATTCCATTTATAAGAAAAGCCCAGAACAGGCAAATCTAGAGAAAGATGATTAGTGGTTACTAGGGTTAGAGGGTAGAGAAGGCAGGAACAGAGAATAACTGCTAACAAATAGGCAACTTACTGTGGGGTGATAAAATGTTCTAAACTTAGATTGTGACTACACTAACGCCATTGAACTGTACATTTTAAACAAGTGTATTTTATGGTATGTGAATTATATCTCAATAAAAATGTTTTTTTAAAAAAGAGACATCGACTAGCTGCAACATATGAGCCTTTCTTGGTCTTGATTAAACTTTTTTTAAAAGGCATTCGTGAGACAATCAGTGAAATCTGAACAAGGAAGACTTGATGATTTTTTTTTTTTTTTGAGTTGGAATCTCACTGTGTCACCCAGATTGGAGTGCAGTGGCCGCTCCCGGCCACCGCAGCCTCGACCTGCTGGACTCCAGCGATCCTTCCGCCTCAGCCTTCCAAGAAGCCGGAACTACAGGCGCATGCTACCACGCCCGGCTGATTTTTGATTTATTGTAAAGATGAGGTCTTGCCAAGTTGCCCAGGCGGGTCTCGAACCCACGGGCTCAGGCAATCCACTCACCGCAGCCTCCCAAAGGCGCGGGATTACAGGCTGAGCCACCGAGCCCGGCTAAGACTTGATGATATTAAGGAATCCATTTTTTAAACATGTGTCAATAAACTGTGGTTATGTTTTTTAAAAGAGGCCTTATCTTTATTTTTCATATTTTTTATTTTAAAGATGTGGGGTACAATTCAGGATTAGGTTCACAAGTGATCATCATACAGGTAAACTTTGGGCCTCCCTTTGGTCCTCACTTTGCCTGGTTTGAGATCAGGTAACCCTTATTGA